TTGCAACAGTTCAAAGTCTAAAATTCATGCATTTTTATTCTTATTAAGATTCAATCACTATGTCCTTTTAAAATTTTGATTCACAAGTAAATAGAATATCCAGCGTTAGTTTTGCATGGAATTTAGTTTCTATTCAGTAATACGAAATTGTATTAAAATTAAATAAAAACATTTTGAATATTATTATATATGCATACAAATTTTTCGGGTATTTTTCATGTCAAATTAACCACGGGGTTTTCAGACATTTTTTAAATCACTCTTTTTTTTTGTGTGCCACACGTTTTATGATAAACTTTTGATTTTTCATAAAAAAAAAAAACATTCATTATGCTTAATTTGTTTGATAAACATGGAATATTGTAATAGATTGTTTTGTGTAAATTTTTCTTCAAACAATTTTTCTACCAATGATTGAAGTTTGGAGTCGATTTAAAATATGAATCTAGAAATAGCATAGATTGAGTCGTTAAGGAGATAATCTATTTCTATTTTTAGAGATAATTGTTTCTGCTAAATAACAGTTCACAAGGAACACTAGTGGCCATTAAAATTAATTTTTTTTTTGGTTAATAATAATACAGCTGGGAATTAAGTTTTTTCTGAAACGTTTCACCAACACTAATATTTAGTAATATTTTAGTAGAATTGTAGGTTAATCACTTTTTGAATATGAAAAACAATATTTTTTTTATACACGGTAATTTACTTTCAAACAAATAATAAACATTTAACATTTTTTTTTAATTCATAATATTATAATTTAATTTTTAAAAATGCGTTCAAAAACGATAGGATATTTGACAAACATTTAAAATTGTTAACTTCTATATTTAATACTATATATTTTAAAATGGAAAACCAAACTATAGGTTTTGTCACGTAGAGATACTGAAAAACTCTCTGAATAAGGTTTTACATTTTTTTTTTTTTTTATTAAGTTTCGGTTTTGGTTTGTGGGTTTGCAGAGTATACGATAATATGATACACATAATCTGTGTACATGTAGGTAGGTACCTCCACAATTTAAATTACTGGCGGTAAATATTGCTATTTCTACGAATATTCGACAAGTTTTGCCAAAACGTACGGCGGGTGTAGTTCTTTACACGAATTTTGTATCGAAATTATTTTATATATATGTGTGTATACAAATAGTAGTACGTATATATGACAGACGAGTGTCTTCGCAATATTATCCTTGACAGGAAGTGGCGTAGAAATAACAGAAATAAGTAAAAAACAGGTACCTAGTGAATAAAATATATCCTCTGATGTTTTTTGAATGAAACTGATTTACTGTATAAGTGTTAATGTTAGTAGCATAGGCGCCAAGTACATGGGTGCTCGGGTGCTCGAGCACYCATTGAAAATATTCATTGGGTGCGGAGCACCCAATATAATTAAAATAGGTAAACCKTTATCACCACGTTCATTGTATGATATCAGTGGCTACAAAGAAAAACCACAGGATATAAAAATCTATTTCATCTATAATTCTGTGGCAAAACCTCGGAAGTCAAAATTAGAAAAAAAAAAATCTACTAACTTAGTAGGTTTGAAATCTATCGTTATACGCGTTGTCTGATTTCATATCGTGATTTTTTTTTAGGGCACGGGAAACGCTCGTATTGGGTTTTTTTTACTGATGAATTGCCGAAAAAGTGTCTCGTACAAATGTACGAATACATTGATTAGTTTTTCCTTTTAGGAACTAGTCAGGCGTTGTGTAGTGAACACACGAGTGTTCTAATGTTTATACCATATTTAATGTTTGGAACGAGTTGGGGTTTCGTCTAATTGGGCGTATATTGATCCCGCCGGCTACTGTTTATAATATCTACATATCGACTTCGCCGGCTACTGTTTAAAATATCTACACATCGATTCCGCCGGACACTGTTCATCCCCCCTTCGGCCTTCCCCATTGTATATGTATTTTAAAACGTATAGTCTAATTAGAAAGTTTCCAAGTTCACTTATTTAAAATACGTGTCCAAATATTATCAAAAGTAGTTACTTTATTACTTATATTTTAATTTTATACCTACGTCCTACATACAATTATTACTATCAGTTTATTCAATTTAGACATGTGACCAACTTTGATCAAAAGTAGTAACATTTATATATTTTTATTTTAAACTATATAATTAATATCATTTTATAAAATATAGATTATACATTTTACAATATATTCTCATATTACTTAGATTATGCATTTTAATTTTGAATTATATAATTATTATAGTTTTATTCAATTAAGATATGTGACCAAATTTTATGAAAATATGATAAAATTTAATCAAAAGTAGTTACATTTATAAATTTTAAAATAGACATACAATTGGTGGTGGTGGGGTTGGGGGGGGGTGAACAGTGTCCGGTGGAATCAATATGTAGATTTTATAAACAGTAGCCGGCGGAATCAATATAAACCTTTTTCCTAAGCAGGTAATTTCGGCGGAATCAATAAATCCCCTTATTAGGATGACCAATATTGTAATCAAGCACTATGAGTCAAGCACAAAACATGGAACTGTTCGGGTTCATTCTTAGTATTATGAAACACTAAATTGTTATTACGAGAGTTTGGTTAACATTTTCATATTTTTCAGCGTAATTTTTATACACGAGCTAAATTTTTACGAATGAATTATTATAAATATAGATCTTATTTTTTGATAATACTCATATATAAGATGGTAACGTGATGTGCTACCACGTTTCATTTTTTTTTCAATAACGGAATTTAATTTAATTATAATGTCTGGTCGTCATTTCTGAAGAATTAGTCCATGCTATTTTCAAATAACACGACTGTTCAAATATTGCATGCGTATATTTTTATAAAAAAAGCACTTCATTGTGCCAAACGAGAGGGGGTACAATTGAATTTTATATATAAATACAATATGTGTGTATATATTATGTATGTACTTTAATGAAAAAGGTTTGGATTTTTACTGACATTTGTTCAACGTACCGAGGAATAAAATGTAGAAAGAGAGTAAAAACGCGTTTGGTACTAGTTTAGGCGATTGTTCGGCGAAAACTGCGTTTTTAGTTTTGCTTGGCCAGTATAACTATATGTATACTTTGAGCGAGTGGAAAAATATTGCGTTCTTTTAACAGTCGCAATAACAAGCAATATATATATATATATATGGAATTAAAATCACCATTGAGCTGCTTCAAAAACTCTGAACACACAAAATTAACCACAAGGTAGCCAAATTCGTCTTACAGATATTTGCTTCATCACGGAGGTACAATAATATGATATATTGTGACCGGTTAGTTTTTTAAATTTTTTTTTAAGAAATTGAACAAAGCAAGTATTATTAAGTGGGGCTTATAATTATCATAATTTTTACTTTAAGTATAATGACACATTTTTACACTATAATATTCAGTTGATCAAAACGATGATCAGAAGATAGAAGATGATAAGAATGTCGCTCACAAGTTTATATACCATATACATTATACATAGTGAATTTAATACGAGTATAATTAACGTCATCTATAAGAAATAAGCCCCGGCAACCCAAGATAAAACATTAAAGGAATCTCGGCACTCGTGGCTTTAACCTAGGTTATGCTCAAAATCGTTTTTTGAATGCGTTGGTTTATCGTTTCGTGTAATAATATACTATTTTAAGTATAGAATGTACATCAACAATATACGTACCAGTATCCCGGAATAAAGCGAGAGAGAAGAGAGACAAGCGCTCAACATACGGATATCTGTGTATTATTRTTTTCGATATGCTATACTCAAAAAGATTTTTATTATAGTTTTTTTCTGGCGCAAATATGTGTATTTTTTTAAATTTTTGATAAATTGATTGAAAGCGTATATATTTCTAGCAGCCTAAAAAAATCGGCACAATTGACGAACACTGATTGAATAAATTACATTTATATGATTATCTTGAGGTCTACACAGCAGTATTGCTAATACTGCACACAAACGATTGATCAGAGATTTATCACCAATTAATAATATGGCCCGGTCATCTCGATGTCACATTGAACTGTTGCAAAACGATATTAAATATAATATTATTTTTGTAATATAATAGAATACACCATTATATTGACAAAACACGGTATTTATCACGTGTAATATATTATATTATAGTAATATTATAAATCGCACGATGGACAGAGAACATATTAAAATAAAAAGTTCTTGTAGTGTCCGAGAATCACAATTGGACGGACAGAAAATGGGAGTAAAACGAAAACAAGTATGACCGCTCGAACAATTAGATCGACGGCGTTGATTTAAATATATATTATGGTTATTTAATATACATAAACAATATACATGCACCGAGTATCGATCCGTTCGTTTTCAATCACGTGTAAAGAATTATTTTACCGACGTCGAATCGAAGACTCTCGATGTTTACCGAAAAAATAAACACCAAGGATCGTCTCGGAACATATCCATTGTGTAGATTTTAGTATACAGTTATACTACAGTGACGCAGAGTTCTATTAAAAAACGTGTTTCAATTGTGATTATGATCATATTACGCGTATAACCTACCCCAGTCACTATCAGTTTTTGAAATTTTTAAGATAACTTTTATTTTATATTATTTTATCAAAAAATTTGAAAAATTACTCCAATGAGTTATCGATTTTCACGAAAAACATCAATTAATGTTAGCAAAAACTTAAAAGAATTCGTTGAAAATCTAAATTAATCTCGATGTTTTTGTAAAAATAATAATTCGTAAAAATTAATTTTATATAATACGTATTATGATAAGTGGAGTTTTGTGTATTTGTATAGTCTTATGATTCAATTAACTGTTTTTACCGGCTTATAAAGTTAAGTGGCTTAATGAGCACCTCCTCAAGTCCGTTACTCAACGCCACTGCAGTGCTGACGATACGGTTTAATAACAATAACAATAATATTACATATTATAATATGAACTCGACGGTCGCTTGGTGCCATGCGACGGTCGGTTGGTTTTTACCTCTCGCACTGTCTGAGCGTCCAGCTGGCGATTATCCACAGGGACACCATGAACACGAGCAGCACCGTGCCCGGGCATATGGTCATGAGCGTCTTCAGCACGAACCTCGTGTTGAAGTTGATCCGGTTCAGGGCGCCGATGCTGCGGGACGATGCGTCCGTGAACAGCTTGCTGTGCAGCAACATGACCCGGCAGATGAGGTACAGCCGGAAGAACATCGGCAGCGACAGCGGCACATCGTACGGCACCCACCGCGTCTCCAGCTTYCCGTGCTTGTTGGCCAGCTTGGTTCTCCACTCGAAGTAATACTCGCCAGGAATCGGGTGGATCGCGCAGATCACCAGCTCCATCGTGATGGTGGCGATCCGCTGCCACGTCATCGCGATCCGCCAGTCGTCCGCGCAATTGTCAATCATGAACAACTGTGCATGGCACAAAAATGGAAATGATTTTTACATRGTATATAATATAGTGATATCGAGGGATGTATAATATATACAGTGTGTTCACCGATTTTCTCGGCCGGATTTGTTTGGAATAAATCGATTTTTTTTACAAACTGGTGGTATATATGAATACACATTTTTCGATACATCTCAAAAAATTTTGAGAATTTGGTCTGCGCATGCTCAGTAAAAACTGTTTTTGTTTAATAGCAACACCTATTTTTAACACTATATTCGGATAGGCCTATTTTTTTWAAAGTAATTTTCATATGTCAACTATGGCTCTAAGTTCAATATTGACTGAATAAGAGCCATGTCAATTTTRTTAAATAATACATTTTTAAACATTTATAATTAATTCTTATTGGTTACTTTTTAAATATTTGTACGAATTTTTTTTTTAGAAATGTTATAAACTAGACTAACATAACGTGGATACAAAATTATTTATTAAAAATCGACTAGGTACCTACAACTGGTACAAGTGAACAATAGTTATTTTATAATTACACAATAAATTAAATAAATTGTTCAAAGTTAGTAAATCGATTTATTCCAAACGAATCCGGCCGAGAAATTTAGTGTTCCCTAAATTAATATATATATATATATATAGAGAGAGAGAGAGTGAAAGAGAGAGAAACTAATCTATTGTTTACCATCATTGTACTATAGTATACGGGATTATTATTTGTATACAAAAAAAACATCGAATGATTATTTTAGGTCTTTGAATATGCAGGAATCAAAACTAAATACATTTTTATAGATATATAGTAATTCTTTGGATATTTAACACTCGAAATATCATAAATTGTAGTTATAAATAGTAGTTACTCGTATAATTTAATTTAAATTGTATATACCATTATATTCAATAAATGTTTGACATCTTTAGTTAACTCGATATCCATTTTTTATTCGAACGAAAGGGTTTACCGTTCATTTTAAATTTCATATTTTATTTACCACTTGTTTTTTATATCGTYACGATGTGAGTGAAGCTCAACACACACAGTATCATGTATCATGTTCAAATGTTTTGATTTATATAATATTATAAYGCAATAAGCCTGTGTTGGTAGACGGTAGTATCAATTAACGGCGTTGTTTTTCCCCGAATTTTTAAATATTTGAATAATAAATTGATATGAACATATTTTCAAATACMTATTCAAAATCGTTTAGATACCTTCCCCCGTAAATATCCAATAGTAGTATCTAAATCACGGAATTCTTAAAAACCACATAGCGCTGGTAATGCTACTTCACTACTATAATAGTATAGAAACGAAGAGCTCAGGGAATGCGAATATGAAATATAATTTTTSTTATGACGGTTGGAAGACAACTATTTAGTTATTCTACGTATAACATTGTTTTTCCGATCAATTTTATTTTATGACGATACAGATGATTATTATTATTATTCTGTCGTCGTTTTGTCTGTGGCAGTGTAGTAGCACGTTGTCATATCCTATCAAGTATTAAATGTACGTTCCGTCAGTTGCTGCTGTTAYAGGGGMTCATTAATACAGTACACGTACAACGATTATTATTATCACTGTTGTTTTGTTTTATATTATTTTATTACCACCACATCGTTCGTTTATTTACAAACGTCCACTAGCGTTACTGCTGCAGGTGTAACCCATGCRAATAAAATATCGTTCCATCCAACACAATTTATCACAAAAAGTGAAAAAAATAAACACAAGCRCTTAGAAAACATCATACTTATACTGTTATATGATTCGGTAAAAATAGATCGTTCTACGTAATCGATTTTTCGATATAAGGTCCCTAGGAAGGTTAGAATTATCACAGGTAATTTTATGAGTGCACCGAATAGAAACATAAAATCGTAATCATAGAAACAACAAAGTGTACAGGTCGTATAATATAATATATTATGGGGACCATCATTCTGGTGAATAGAATATTATTATTTTAATTTCGGTTACAATTATTTTTTATACGGAATYGCTGTTGATTGACATAGGTAGAGGTCTAGATCGAGAACACTTAAAACAATGACTAATCAATCGAAAATTATAAGGTCTTCGTTCTGATAATCATTATAATTTTCTTTAGATGCAAACATTCGCACCAATTATCAAAGTTGTTTCCCGAAAACACTAGATTCCGATGTAAAATTGACATATTATGTAAGTGAACTCACAAAGAGAAAAGAGATCGACTGCATAAAAAATGATAGAATAAAATTTTTTTTTACCAACAAATGAGGAAGTTTGATTATTGACCCTAACCTATAGATTAGTATCTTCCAACAAAAAAATAAATACAATTTTGATATTTTAATAAGTATAGTAATATTTTATATAGGTAATTGTTTCAGGTCAAACATTAATTGGAGCTATGATGAAAAATAGTTAASAAGTTAATTTTGACATTTATTCTGTAACTTCTCAAAATATTAGTTTAGTGGTATCTAATTTTAAAATTTATCAGTTTAATCATGTGTTTTACTTTTTTTAAATGCCGTCATATTTTACGATGAAGTTTTTAATACAGTAAATTATTTTATTATGATACGCTAAAATTAATATACAGCAAAATCTCGATTATACAAATCTTCGTTATATAAACTCTCTAATATCCAAACAAATATTAAATGCAATTTACGTATCAGAATGCTTTGTTCCCCAAACATCAGCGTTGTAGTGCTTGTACACGTAATAATTTAGATATTCAGTATGTATATAAGAAATTAATATTTATAGTAATTCAATATTAATAATAACAAATAATAAATATCAATTTATCATATAATATTATGTGTGTATTTTCAAGATTTGTAAGATATTATTAAATAGGTATATATAATAATATGTTGCATGTACCCAATATATGATATCGAACAACTCTCAGTATCCAAACTTTCACGTTTCTATAGTTTGGAAATATGAGATTTCGGATAATCAGAGTTCCACTGTATTTAGAATTGAAAAAATTACATCTATATATAATCAAACAACATATGTATTTACATTAGTTTATGCATCAACGTTTTAATTTAAGTAAAAATGTTTACTCTTAATTAAGTTTATCAGGCGTTACCTCAAATATTTTGTTTTAATTTTTGATCAAATGAGCTAGTGGTCTAACATACTTTTACCGACGGTTTATATTTGACAGCATTTTACTTTCAAGTCACGTCATGCGTTACGTTGCTTTAATAAAAGAGCAAATATTGGAGGGATATTTCTCCGATATATCAACTATTAGGCGTAGAACTTTTTAGAAGGTTAAAAAAAAAAAATAAAACCACTATTGAATTCAGCATAAAGCTAACTTATTGAAGTACTTGGAATAAAATTAAATATAAAACCAACTTTTAAACTTTCCGTAAAAATAAGTAAAATTGTATAGTTGTAAACAAAATGCGTTTTTTCATTGACAAAAATTTCTTGCGAATTTAAATACCTAGTTCTCAATCTTAAACTATGACAACTTATCTATTAGGAATAGAAACCATTTGTTGGTTAAATATTTAACTGATATTGTAATTATAGCCCATAGGTCTCCACCCGACCACGTTACTCTAGTTAACACTAGTATTATGTAAAAAAAGTGATAAATGAGACTTAACGCAAGGGTCAAATTACACTTTGCCATTTTAGACATTTCATTAAGTATATTTCCTCCTCCTATCCTTCTCCATCGTTAGCACCGTTTAAGGTGTCGTGTTCAAAGGCAATCGTCACAAGGAATAATCTGAATTTATATGTATAGTGTTGGCACGCAGCATTGTGTATTATGCTAAACAACTTAGGGTGGAAATAAAATAGCTTAATACTCAATTGTGTGTGTGTGCTTATAAGTGAGGTAAAGCTATAATATTTCCTGAGTGCAATYTACGTGTTATTTCAGGAAGGGGTTACTTGTTGCTGCCTTAACTTAACTAGCTCTCAGTTAATATTCGCAGGTTTTATCAAATAATTTCCGTAGGGAATATATTCTTATTACTGGAAACAACGACCAAAACTATTTCAATTATACGWGTATATTATATTTCCATGCCATTCGGTATGGTTAGGTTCTCTATCAATAATTGCTGTAAAGGAATGTTTGGAACTAAAGTAAATTCCATAGTGCGTTCTTTCAGTTAACTATAATACATATACTCTCGTTTTAATTTTCATATCACCMCATCATTAAACCATTAAGTTTGTAAAAAAAATATACCAACGCCACRGAATTTTATTTATTTCCGCACTTTTGTTGACCTTTTATATTACCTATGTAAAGTATATTCACATTAATTTTTGATTGTTAATAATAAAAATATTATGTTTAATTACATTTACGTATTATGTACAAAATACAATGAAATTAAACCTAACTTACTTAATGTTTTAAATATTATTTAGTTTATAATAAAAAAAAAAAAAGATTTAAATAAATTATTTCAGTAATGAAAATAATAAAAAAAATCTTTAGCTATAAATACTGTAAAAACTATAGGTACTTACAATATAAAAATGTTAATTTCATAGCCGACAAAGACGATTTAAGTGAAGTGAAGTGAAAGAAATTATCATATAGATTATATTATTAATTAATTATTGGTATAGTTTCATGAAATCATAAAGTTCTTATTTATTATTTTGAGCAAATAAAGTCAATTTTGTCTATTTTTTAAAGGATTAAAAAGAAATAAAAATTGATTGTTCTTATAAATCCATTATATTACATAACTAAACTTATGTAGGTAATTTTTTATATTAACTAATAACTATATATTAACACAATTTCGTTTTAGTACAGTTATTTTTTATGTTCTACTGCAGCTCAATAAAATAATATTCGAAAAACTATAYCTATTATTATTATTTTTATTTATTATTACAGCATCGACATCAAGGTTATTAGCTTATAATTAGACTAWATAGTTRTGTACCAAATATTATTATATTATATAAAATCTACCTACCAAAAATGGAATATTATTAGTTGAACCTCTTATTTTGTGAGTAGACTGTATAAAATCAAAGTAAATTAGCAAATTTATAATACGCTTAGTACGCTTTATGTTTTAGATTACTTAATTCTGAAATAATTTTTTTGTTTTGAAATTCATAGCAAAGTTTTAAGTGTCCTACAATGTCTAATAAAATGTGTGTTTGTATTTTGCWTCTTTACAGATCGATATGTATGAATATTATTTTAGAAACATGAGTTTGAATTATTTACATTGTTTAATATAAATGTATAATTTTGAAAYCATTATAGTACATAAGAAAAAGATAATATAATAATAATCATATTCAAAACAAGAAGAGTCATTTTGTGGGTCATTTTGAGTAATATGTTCTATGTAATTATACTTAATTAGCAAAGCTGTCTCCCTTTTAATTGACCAAGCCAATTTTCATGCAGCATTTTGAAATTTATTTCGTGTATCAAGTAATAAAATTATATTATAGATTTATCCGAAATAAATAAAAATAAATTGAAGAAAGAAAATATACTGGTCTGGCATTTGTAAATGATCAATGGTTTTGATTTTGTCCGTATAACAAAGAAAACCTGCAGCATGGTGGTTATATTTGAATAGACGGTTTCAATTAATCATTATTTTATGTATATTTAAAATGACAGCAATCATCAGGGTTTAAGAATGATAATACAATCTATAACAGTACCTATTATAATAATAACATATGAGAAAATATGAATGTCACTAAGTTTGATATTTTAAAAATGGCAATCAGAAACAAGAGATGACTGTTAAATACGACCCTTGTGACTCATAACCAAATCACTCACCGTGTCGGCCAAAAATAGCTTTGTTAAATAAAAGTGACTTATCAGATAATGTGGTTTTTATGTTTTCGGAGAAATATCTCATATGTATTTTCAGGGTCTGCCGATATTTCTTTGTTTCTTGTTTRCCCACAAGAAGATTTGTTATTTTTCGTACTTTAAGCTAATACTGTTAAATAATTTACATGTATCCATGGAGAACGAACTCTCAATACTGAAAGTAAGGTCAAACGAAATGAACACAGAATACAGTCCCTCTAAAATTTTATTTATTTTAGAAAGAGATTATTAATAATATTTTTTCTAAAATTCTGTATTAATGAACAAGACGAACTAATTTAGATGATATAAAATTAGATGTTTTAGATTTTAGGTGGTGCAAAAAATATTGGTTTTAAAATAATAAGCGTAAAACGTAARACTAACGGACTATTATTATTTTATATTTATATACATTATCATTTAATATTGAGGTAGGTTATAATCATGAAACAACATTAAATTAATTTACACGATTTTTAAGCAGTCATCTAAATATTTATAGCATATTACCCTATAATTTTAATCACAAAGTTTTTTTAAAATTTATTTTTATATGTTTTCATTAAAATTATAGATATAAGGAACTACACACTGAAATAAGTATCATAATCCTGATAAATTAAGTTCAGTTTTAAATAAATATTTATTGTAATAAACTAATATCTATGTATTAAAGAGTTTTTGGATAATGATTGAACCTTTAAATATTTTTGTGATATTATATATAAAGTTATCTAGTTTTATTGACATTTTAAATTTTTAGTGAAGCGATAAATGAATTGATTTTAGAAAATTCCTCATAGTAGTTTTTGTTGAAACTAAAAATATAAAATTGCTTTTTTTTATAAGATACATTTGAATTAAAAATTTGAATGAAATTCGATATTTGAGTAAACGATGAATAACGATTAATAGGCTGACAAACAGTCTCCGCTTAGAATCATTAATTGTATACAATGATTTATTATTCAATTCAATTTTAACACATCCATCACAGTGACCTACTCAATCATGAGGTATACTCTACTCCTACAACTGTACAGGTATAGAGCAGAACAGTTATCTAATTGTCCCATTTGTTAATTATGATGATAATTTATTTATTTGTATGTGAATTGAATGTAAGAAAAAACTTATAATATAACTTATTTTTTTTAAATTTGTTTATTGAAATGAGATTTGTTACTACAAGTTTTTATAAAGAAAAATGTAAATGATAATAATAAATATATTTAAGACTTAAACTTTAAGTTGAGTAATAATATTGAGTGAACCATATAATAGTTATTATTTTGTAATACCTACATGATTTAAAGTTAGTGAAAACTTTTCTTTTGTTGATGTTTGCTTTTTGAAATGAATAATAATGGAAGATACTAAGTTAGAGAGAAACCTCAGATCGAGTTCCTGGTGCAAATGAAACTACTGAAATAACATTTACACCTGACATCGGTGGTTACATTGTGTAGAATAAGTTTTTAAATAAAGTTGTTGAAAAGATTTCTTTTCAATGTTTCCGGTTACTCAATATTGTATTTGAATGTTACTGACTGTGACGCGTATTATTATTATTTTTTTTGTTGATACATTGCAACTTTGAAGATTGTTTGTCAATTTTTTCATAGCATATAATATACAAAGGTTTTTAAGCTTACCTGTACTTCGAGTGCGTGGTAGGCCATGATCAAACCCAGCAGAATGATGGTGGATACGGATATGAGCGTTTTCAGTGAYGTAGAATAGAATGACGTCTGCAACAGAAAGCACGACGGAAATAAGTTTTTGTTGAATATGGTTTTTCATAAATCACATTTAGATTATGTGAAGTGTATGTTGTACGTGTATGAATATTTTCTACATTTTCTAGCACATCTTTAGGTACTATAGGTTTCACCATGGCGATTATCAAAGGATGTGTGATTTTCAAACTAACTTATTTTCCTTATTTTGAATACATCTTATATTTTTAAGCTATATACTGAGTGACTGAGTTWTTCAAAAGATTGACCTATCTTGTATCTGTCTATATATAATATATGTATTACATCAGTTATATTTTATTCATTGGAAATAATATTAAATTGAAATGGTTTATACCTACACATAAAAATAAATTGTGAAATAAATATGTACATAATCATTAAGAACTAATTTAAGTTAACATAATATTYTTGTTTTTTATTTGGTTTAATTTTACTCTCACTAATATAATCAAATTTCATAAATATTGCCACATAATTCGAGAACTCGAAAATCGGTGAAAAATTATAGGTAAATTAGTGTTGTCAGGATTAGACCATAATTAAAAATTATCTTTTATTGTTAAAGCTGATTCTACAAAATGTTGATGTTAGTAAATCATTWTAATATGATCATTGTAAACAAATATAATACATATATATATATATATATATATATATATATATTATTGTTTAGTGATAATTGATAAAATAAAATAATTTATGACAATAATTATTGTATCAATAAGTTAATTATTATCTTTATACAGGCTACACTGAAATACCAACAGGTACCGCAAAGCTATCCTCCATAAGAACCTATTTAATACTAGAAAAGTGAGCTTTCTGGTTATTCTGTGTTATTACTGTCTTATTTGAATGAAATAGATTTGTATTGATTTTTATATGGTTTGAATAGTAGGTAATCAATTAACTGTGATAAAATATGTGATCACAAGGTTYTTCAATATTTTATTTAGCACCTATATCTAAGATCTAGAAATATTTTATCACTTTTACAATGTTACATAATTTAWTAAATAGTTTAATAAAGGTATGGATAGGTATGATCTTTACTTAATGCTTATATTGTTTTAACATTATATCTCGTTTAATTATTTAGAATCATAGTTATATATTTATGTAACATATATTAATATACAGTTGTATAAATATACATTTTGTTATATATCTAAATGTATTTTCGTTTTTTATTGCATACAGTTATTTTCATTATACCTAGAAAATTCGTGAAAATAAAATCTTGATTTATTTTAAATTAGATGTCACTAACTCTTTAGATATAGTATCCAAAAATTGTTTTTAATCGATAAAGTTTTTTCCTAACACTGATGTYTGATGTTTACATAGTTCATACATGTTGTCAGTTCTCAATGTATATGATCCATCGTATAATTTGTTACTAGATATAGGATGCATGCTTTTTTCCATATATCTCGGCCTTGTCATCTCGGTCAAACAATGAGTTATGATCGTCAGTGGACGTATTAATTCGCGTGTATCATCGTCGTTGCTCTGGAAATGGCAGTGGGTTTTTCGAGTGGAGGGGAACAAAGACAACTTTGTCATCCATCATTTCTCTACCGGAGGTCGAAGTTACCGGAACAAGGGAAAAGAGACGGAAGGATGAGAGGAAATATATATTATATATATTATATATCATACTCTTACGAGTATATAATGTATAATATACATATATATTACAGAAAATAACTTGTGTGACCATGACAGAATCGATTTGTTTTTTGTGTAAATATTTTGGATAGATCCCAAGAATTTTTTTATTGCTCAAACACAAATAAAAATTGTTTTCTAAGAAAACTATGATGTCTCTAAGTAGGTCTATCATCTAAGTTTTTAACCAATATAACTTATTGGTTAACAGTCATGTAGAAATTGTMTAAATCGAAAAATACATAAAAAAGATACAGATGGTCAAACATTATTGAGTTAACCAAAACTTTAGTATGGTATTTGGAATTTAAGAGAAAATTGATATCTGTATACTGTCAGCTTGTATCTATAGCACAACAATATGCTTCATAATAAAGTTTTAAAAGAATAGTGTACTCAATACTAAAACTATAAAAAAACACGTTTTYTTAGTTCTTTATTGAACTATTTAGTTGTAAGCTTCAAAACTAYTTATTTCATTGTAATGAAAACATAACTTAAGCATATTTACTTTAATTTTTAAATAAAGAATTACTYTAAAACAACGTACTTGAACCTTGTAAAAACCTAAGTYCTTAAGTATCTCTTTCATAAATATTTATTTGAACTTTGAATCTCCTGAATAGCTTTAACAAAAACAGCATGTGGTTTAAAGTTGCTTGTTGATTAAATTTTATTGCCAAAAAATTAAGTATGACTGTCATGCGTATTTATTTCTTAAAACYACAGACATGGTATATTCAAATRAAATACTTATTTTTGAGTTTATACAAGTTTTTTGAACTAATGGTATTTCTTATAATATACTATATTTTGCGAAGCCTGTCATTACGATTGCAGTGGTTTWATCTTCATTTTTCATTTTTAAAGTTGTATTCATTTTACGATTAACATTAGTGGTGATGTTCGGGCACTTCACCCTGCGCCTTCCACTCAGATATTCTTCAAAAAATAATTTTATTTTATTCAACTAGACTTTCTTTTATCAACAGTAAGATTAAATGTGTCCTCGTTTTTTAATTAACCATTTTAACTGTTCATATTTTGTTTTTAATAAGTTGATAAATATTGTTTATTACAATTCTCTCATCAACATTGTGTTARTTTTCCTCAAAAAACGGGTACTTTTTCACTGAAATTATGTTTTTAAGTTATTWAATGGCACAATTGATAATAGTAGTACATAATTATTTCAGCTTTGACGATTTGTCATTAAGGGTACAGAAATTATAATTTATATTTTTTTAATGTTTAAAGTGTATCTACAAATAACTATAATTATAACATTATAATTGTTTGTATCCTAAGAATTTTTTGTCAAATATTCATTATTCTGTTAAYCACTMAATTTATATAAATATATAATGTTGATAATTATTGTACCTACTTGGGTTAAACAAAACATAATTATGTCATGATAAAATCTATACAAGTYATTTGAAATAATTTACGACTCTTTATTAAATAGCGTACTTGAAACAATAACAATCAATTTAACTATCAAGGTAAAATTTTAGGAAGAAAAAAAAATTTATTTTTTTGATCTATGACCGTTAGGTATGGTAATTACAGTTGTTATAAGTGTATTAATATAGAGATGATACATTTGAGTTTTAATAGTAGGGTGACAATATTAGTTATAGTTATGATAATTAGATTATTTACAATATTTACACATGTACTAATAAAATAAGATTATAATATAAACATAAAAGTCATTATAGCGCAAAAACAAGGGGAGATGTTATTAAATTAAATTATAAAGTTTCGATGCTTTTAAAAAGTCGTTCATATTTAAGCTGTTTTCGGTTTCGGATCCAAGTGCTATGTCGAGTTTGTCGGGCAAGTTCGTATTTTAAGCATTCAGTTACAATGGTATTTGACCGGGAGTCTGACATTCTCTTGCAATTTGGAATCCATGAATTAATCTCGTATGCCCTATCCACTTCAAAGAGCTGTTAGTCTACCTATTTGTTATTTTTTTGACAGTATTTAATATTTACAGTTTTATTGGTTCCATATGCTGAGCCATTTGTTGTTCGTTATTTATTTTATGTAGACTTAAAAAAAAAAAATATTATGCATATTATTATGTTTCATTATAATTTGACGTTTTTTTTTTCAAAATAGCATTCGATGCTTTATAGGTACTACCTATGTCCTATATATATATAAATATTTATTGTTTCCACGTGAATATGTTAATTTGGATGGTAATATTTTTTTTGTTAATGAAAAGGAAAATAACCGTTTGTTTATTTACCTATATATCATGTGAACACAAAAATCGTTCAACACACACTGGGGAATTGTTTTGGATGGGATGTAAACACTATGTTACTAAACAGTCGAACGATCGAAGGGTGTCTGTGGCGATCGTTACGTAGGTTTCTGAACTCCAAAATCGTAACTGGGATTATGTTTATATATAAAAAAATATCCTTTATATAGTTATACGTTATTACCAGTGTGAAATATTTACCATCGACATCGGTAAGAGAGAATTCAGTCCTCGGTGTTCGTAAAACATCATCCGAAGTGCTAAAGCTAAAGTTTTATGCGTGAACTCGTAGGTTCATAGTCGGTATTTGCACGTYCTATATATTATTATATAGGTACGCATTTCTTTCTCGGACATTTTTATTTACAGATTTCTTCTTGGATTAGGTGAGATCGTTGTGCAATAAAACTGACCCGGGACTCCAACCGACTAATCTCTTTTTTTCCTCCCCACTTCGTGTTTTCTTTCGTTTAATGACTGTCATATTATATAGTCGCGCAGTGCATTTATTTCTATCCCACACGTAAACCCATTTAAACGACTCCRGTAGGTATACTACGGTCATATTAAACGTAATCTCAGTCTCACACAGMAAAAACAAAAATAAAAATATAAGCCCTTTTATAATATGCGCATAGAAAAATGAAACAGGCTCCAAATATTACATATTAGACCACCATTGTATACTAACTATATTCTATTTTTTAGTCAACTATGTGAAAAGTACTTCCGTGTGTGTATCATATATATTGCTGTATGAGTAGAGAAAAAAAGTCAATCCAACAACGAATTAAAAGATTTTTTCCGGAATTTTTTTACCACACACTTATCCAATATATTTTGCTGGCCACACAGTTCGTAGCCTCGTACAGACAACGATCTTGTTTTTGAAAAGTTCTTTGTTAATTATAAAAATGGCCACGAAGCACATGATATACATACGAAAAGCCAGTATATTATGTTGTTTTTAACAGTGTACCTATCTAAATTAGGGTAAGTTTAAAAACTAGATTATATATAGTGAATATAAAAGAAA